GGCGCCATGCTGCAATTCGGGCGCCACTTTCAAATACTGCATTTTTCAGTTCTGCCCTCGGGGCCTTTGCAGAAATGCCCCTGGTACCGTACGTGTCACCGGTAGTTATACCGGCTCCCCGTACGGTACGGGGGGCAGTCTCGTACCAGTTCTCTGCTGCTGTACTCGTACTCAGTGTGACTTGCTGTTTCGGCATTSGGAATCCAAGACTTCAACTTTGTGCCTTACCACTGTGTCTGCGTCCGACCCTCAGTCCAAGTCCGTCGAGTCGAGTGAGTGAGTGTGTGTGTGTGCTCTSACTCTCTCCCTCTCTCTCCTCTCCCTCGGCTCACCCTCGGCCTCACGCTCGTTACAGTTGGGGCGGGGGGGGAAGGAAATGACTGCAACACAAATATGGTTCACAGCTGTCATGGCAGAGGCGGGCAATGGCCATCCCTTTACAGTGACCCGAGCAGAGATTACACCGTGCACATGCTAACCGGACTGTGCCTGTGTGTTCACACCATAGCATACCATGGTGATGGCCCTCTGAAGGGGTCCCCCTCACCATGCGCTAGACTGTTTTGTCGGACTTTCACCCACTCGTCAGGAGGTTGTGTGTACGTGGGCAGCAGTGCATCTCCTCTGAACCAAAATTTCATGTACCAGACACACCGACCATGCACAGACAGAAAGTGTCAAGAGCCCAAAGAAAATAATATCCAGCAGCAGCCATGCTGGCCAGCATAAATGAATTACTGCCCCAGTGGAATGCACAGCACAGGAAATCAGTTTGCAACTTTGCAATGGAATGCCCGCAGGTGACAAAAAGTCACAAAAGGCTACCGGTAGTAACGGATGCTCATTTCCATCCGGATAGCTCTCGCACCGCAATGCACAAACACCCCGCCTTAGAGTCGACCAATTGGAGGATCCTTGGTGGAACACTTCAGAAAACCTAGTGTGCAAAGAAATGCCCACGGGCCACGGGGATAAAAGACATCAACCCCCAAGGGCGGCAAACGGCTATCAATGCCCACGGGGAATAGAACTTCATAAAAGGCAATCAGATGTTCTAAGTAAAGTTCAGCAAACCGACAGCAGAATGCCCGAAACAGCAAAATGCACAAAACAATGAAGATGACAGCAAAATTTAACACAAAACTGGTTGCCAACAGCCGTCAGTCACAAGCTCGCATTCTCCTGGGGGTAATGTTGAGTTTGCAATGTTGGATCATTTCCGTGGCCTGAAGTATGTACTGTACCTTGCCCGAATCGACAGTGGAGCATTGCGTAGAAATGGATACTTGTCTTCTTCCCGCCAAACAACTCCCTCTCCATATGCTCAATCTGCTCTCGTTCACAGCTACAAAAGGCAGACAAATGCAAATTTCAGAATCATAGGTAGAGGCACTGTGGACAAAATTTAATTAGAAAGTAGTACATCCAATGAGGGGCGGAAGCGAATGAGAGCAGTGGGGCTTAACCTTACATCCAATGAGGGGAGGAAGCGAATGAGAGCAGTGGGGCTTAACCTTAGGCTGAATTGCCATTTACAGGCACTAAACAAAAAAAGATAACGAAGGGATCTCTGCTTCTGGAGCTGTGTGGAATCTCACTGGAGTTGGAGCGTACTCACATGACGACTTTTTCGACCGAGCTCCGAGAGTTTTTGCGGTCAGATACATCTAGATGTGGCTGTCATTATGGTCACATACATCCACAAAATGCCCAGTGTGAGTATGCCCTGGGATTCTCAGATCAGATGATCTACTCACTAGAGCCATGAAATGTTTCCAACTTCCTTAATCCTTAATAATACTCTCAAAGCAAATAGCGGGTCTCGCGTGACGCTCCAACTTCCTTAATCCTTAATAATACTCTCAAAGCAAATAGCGGGTCTCGCGTGACGCTCCCACGCAGACCTGTCTTCCAGTGTTGGGAAAGCCGCTGGGACAAGGGGTGGGCCCAACAAAATGAAGAGCTGCTGCCGTTTCCAATTCACCGTCCGCATGTTTGAATACAAGTACATAGCGTCGCAATGTGCAGACAGTTCTTTTCTTTTCGGCCGTAGATTGTTTTCTTTTCGTTTTTGTTGTCTCTGTCGGCGAAGGAGTCCACATGCACAAAAGACAAAAAGATGGCAATGTATCTTTCCACGTTCTAGCGGTAGATTCAGTCTCATTTTGCACACTCGGCAGCATTGAACGAAAGTGCGCGGTGCAAAGCTCTCTGAGTCGGCAGCATTGAATGTGCCATTCGAAATGGACCAGCGTTACTCGGATCTGTGGTGGAGAGAAGGGTGACCATTAGCGCAGTGGCTAGCGGCGGGGCAAAGGCGACGATCTCAGAAAGCTCGGCCTGCGAGGAGCGCTGTGGCCGGTGGGGAGAGAGAGAGAGAGAGAGAGAGAGAGAGAGAGAGAGAGAGAGAGAGAGAGAGAGAGAGA